CAGGGTTCGACATGGGGGAAGCGGGTCCTGAGGTGTGTCGCCAGTTTGGGCTTCCTGGGGCTCCCACGGGCCCCGGGACCGGCAGAAAGCGACTCCGGATGAAGAATTGGTCCTTCGACTAGACGTAAGAGTGACCTTTCGCCGGAGTGACCTTTGGTGCGGGCCCAATGGGTTCCCCCGATCGCCGAACACGATGCGATAGTAGCGGCTTGCGCGCCTGTGTTTGGTCACCCCGCGGCCCCCAAAGAGCCGCGCACCAAAGGTCGCTCTAACCCAGGGTCACTCTTGCGCGTAGCCGAGTCCTGGGGGGAGGCCCCAGGGTACAGGACCCGTTGTCCTCAGGCGCCTCTTCCCCCACTCTACAGGGGAGACGTTTCGGCCTCCTCCTGCCCGCCTGCCTGCCAGCCTGCCTGCCTGCCTGCCTGCCCGCGGTCGTGCCAGCGGGGGCGGCAGAGCATGTAAATTGAGGCCCCCCCTCTCGATGAGCACCCGCCGAGCGCCCGGTGCGCTGCCGCTGCTTTCCCAGGAAGACAGGGGGCCAGTTGTCATCAGATAGCCGCGCAGCCCTACCGCGCTGTTTCTTGTGATCTGATCCAGGCCAGCCACCATCTGCTCCTGGGCCCTGCTGACACTTTTGCTTTCTGTTGGTATGTGCTGCCGTTCGATGCTGCGCGCATGTATCTAGCCCTCGTGCCACTTCAGCGCAGGGGCTTTGTGTCACCTTGATTTGCGCGAGAAAAGAGCATGCGCAGGTTGAGTCCGAGAAAGGCGGAAATGCGGCCGAATGGCCGTCGGCCCATCCCGCCACCGTGCCTGGGTTGTGGGTATGAAGCCTATTGGATGTTCGTTGGGATCTCGTGGGCGGCCTCTCTGGGACCTCCTGGAGGCAGGTTTGAAGCTTCTTGGGGGCAGTTTTGGGTCCTCTTGGGAGCCTCTTGGGGGCCTCTTGAGGCTTCGTGGGCGCCTCTGGAGGCCTCCTGGGGGCCTCGTGGGGCGGAAGGCTCGGATTGCGGTTCGTGTTCCCTCTCTTGGGCTCCTTTGGGGCCGTCTTGGGGCCTTCTGTTTGGGGCCCTTCTTAGAAGCCTCTTGGGCTGGGGCGATCTTGGGGGCTTCTTGGGCCGTCTTGGAGCGTCGGGAAGCCGAAAAGACGAGGAAGCCAGAAGCTTTCGAAAACCACCAAAACAATCAGTGATGTTTGTCTATTGGGGCCCTCTTGGGAGGCCTCCTGGAGGCCTCTTGGTGCGTATTGAGGCCTCTTGGGCCGTCTAGGGGCCATCATGAAGGTCCGGGAACGATCGGTCGGCGACTCGGGGCCCTCTTGGACCGTTTTCGAGGCCTCTTGGGGCCCTCTTGACCCGTCTTGGGGCCTTCACAGGCCCGAAGAATTCATGCCACAAGATGCCAGGAACCCCAGGGGGGCATGTGCCCAGCCCCAGGAGATTTCGGTAATTCGGGCTCGGGCCCCTTAAAAGACTGCTCAGGAGTGAGGATTGAGGCTTCGAAGCTAGGGCGCAGGACCTGAGGGCACGCCCTCTCCGTGCCCAGCGGCACGGTGACGCATCTGCGCGTGCTCATGCTTCGAGATGCAGCCAGTGGCACGAATGAGCTGAAGTCCGCGTGCCGCCCCCTCATTTCATCCGCTAGACGGGTCGAAAGGCACCGAAACAGTCAGGCATTCGAGCTTCAGGAAACTGCTCAGAAAGCCCATGGATACCAGGCGGAAATTGCACGACGGACCCCCAGCTACAGCTAGAACAGGAGAAACGAGGGGGTACCCTTACAATTTCGCGCGCGCGGGAGAGAGACTGTATCTGAGTGGTTCGGCAAATGATTTCCCAGTCCAGCACCACGCAGGCCCCCACGCGGTTCGCCAGATCGGCGTTGGCTCTCCCAGGCCAGATCTGCCAAATGTATCCAGACCGCCCGCCTGATTCGCGCATCTTATAATCTGCGCGAAGAAAGAATCTCCCATTATGTGGGGTGGTGTGCCTTTGACGGGTGGGTCCATCTCAGTATCGCAGACGCAGTCAATCAACCGTTTTGGTCGCGAAGCAATAATGCACCGTGGTAGCGGGTTGTCTTTGTACTTTGTCCCGCCCACCCCAGGCGGGGCCTGAATGGTAAATTGGGGTTACGCGCTTCTCCGCTCAAGTTGAGTTTCGCATTAGCAAGCCAACAGACCAGCGGGCGTCGTCCGAACGCTTGGATGTTGATATTGGTCAGTTTGCTTCGCTGTGTTGCGGCACTGCGCTCGAGGATCCCAAGTGTGGATCCCGAGGCCAGTGGGCGCCGCTCGAACGCCGGGAACATCGGATCTGACCTTTTCGCTGCATATTTTCGAGGTTGGTCGGCCTGCTCGTACCTAGTGCAGAGAGCGCAGTCAGCTTCAGCTTCGCTCGGCTTTACAACGAGCGGGCCACGGGATGGGAGAACGAGGTGACAGGGCAACGAGGCGACCAGCAGACCGCGTGGTCCCAGAGCGTCGAGGGCGTAGAGCAAGCGGGCAGCGAGGGGCAACGGAGCCGCGAGGCTGGCCATGAGCGGGCCGCGAGTCTGGACCCTGGCGAAGTTCCGCAGAACGTGTTGGTTGCCTGCTTGCTGTGCCCGGCCGCCCCGCGCCGGCGTCGGCCAGGAGCTTGTTGGCGAGGAGTGCGCCCCCGGGTGGGCGGTGCTCGCCTTCGTTGCCTCCAGGCACCTGCTTCTGCTGCACGTGGGCAGAGTCGAGGACTCGGCCGAGCGCGGGGGGGCCACGCGGCACCGTCGGAGCGCAGGGCGCTCCTTTCGAAGAAGTGGAAGATGAAGATGAAGATGGATCTGATGATGATGGTGACGATGGTGATGATCATGATGGTGGTGGTGATGATGATGATGGTGGTGATGGTGACGGTGACGGTGACAGTGATGGTGATGGTGTTGGTGCTGGTGCTTATTCTGGTGATGGAGATGGTGATGGTGATCTTGGTGGTGATGGCGATAGCGATGGTGACGGTGGTGATGATGGAGATGATGGTGATGGTGATGAGAATGGTGAGTGATGGTGGTGATGGTGATTGTGGTGTTGATGATGATGGTGGAGGTGATCATGGTGGTGATGATGATGGTGCGATGGTGATGATGATGATGATGATGATGATGATGATGATGATGATGACGCTCACAATACCGCTGGTAACGATGCTGATGCAGATGCTGAGGACGATGATGCCGGCGATGATGCAGGTGACAATGATGATGATGATATTGACGACGACGACAACGATGATGATGATGATGATGATGATGATAATGATGATGGTGATGATTACGACGACGACGACGACGACGACGACGGTGGTGGTGGTGGCGACGATGATGATGACAATGATCATGATGGTGATGATGATGGCGATGATGATGATGATGATACAGATTAGGATGATGATGATGATGGTGATGGTGATGATGATGATGATGATGGTACCGATGATGATGACGATGATGAAGGTGGTGATGGTGGACGATAATGATGATGGTGATGATGGTGATGATTACGACAACGACGACGACGACGGTGGTGGTGGTGGCGACGATGCTGATGACAATGATGATGATGGTGATGATGATGGTTACGATGATGATACCGATGATGATGATGGTGATGATGATGATGGTGATGGTGATGGTGATGGTGATGGTAATGGTGATGGTGATGATGATGATGATAATGATAATGATGATGATGTTGAAAAGCCTAATGATAAGTTATCGGAGGGCCGCCCAGGGTTCTTGGATCGGCACCGGACTCCCCGCCGTGTCGGGTGCAGCGCGCCAGGGGGGCGCCAGAGGCGCCGCATGAGGAGTCCAGCGCCGATCCAAGGACTCCGAGCGGACGCCTAGAGGTTTGTGTTCATTTCGTAAGGCACGTCCCTGCAAGAAAGTTTCAAAAAGGTGAGTCCAAGATACCCGCGAGGGAGCCGCAAAAGGACCACCGGCGGGGCATCAAGGGGAAGCGGTGCAGGAGAAACGGGCCACCACGTCCGAGTCTTCAACGCATGGGCGCTGGCCGATGCCACGGGTGAACGCTTCCCCACATCTTCGGAATGCTGTGTTCGGCTCTCTGGGCGGGAACGCGCCCGCTTCGGCCAGGTTTGGTGCCCCAGAGGGGCCCCAGACCTCTCGCGTATCCCCGCCCCCGCTCCGGCGCCGCCGACGTCGAACGTGCACTGCCAAGTGCGCTCCCCCCCAACACGCCGCCGCCGCCGCCTCCGCCGACCACGACCACGACAACGACGACGACGACGACGACGACGACGACGACAGCAGCAACAATATCATCAACAACAACAACAACAACAGCAGCAACAACAACAACAACAACAATCATCTTAAGACTGTTCGCCCTTATCTGCTCGAGTTTCCAATAACGCCTGTGTCCCAAACCCTCGATACCCGCCCTCTTCGTTTTCGATCGAACTCCTTTTGGGGGGTATACCTTTCTTCCCTGCAGGCCGGGCCCCGGCAAGCGGCGGGGCGGCCGCGGACCGTCGGCCTGGCCAGCGGCAGCGCTGATCGGCGGGGCGGCCGCGGACCGTCGACCCGACCCCAAGAGGGACGGACGACGACGTCGACGACGACGGCGACGACGACGACGGGGACGACGACGACGAGCGAACGCGAGAGCGAAAGAGAACGACAGCAGGGCCACAAGGACACGAAGTAGGCCACGAAGGGCAACAGCGGGGACACGAAGGGAAGGGCCACGAAGAGCGCGAACGAGCGGGGGCCACGAAGGGAAGATAATGCGGGGCCACAGAAGGCAACGATGGGGCCACTGAGGGTAGCAACTGGGCCACGAAGGACAGATGCATATGGGGCCACCACGGTCGCGAGCGGGGGCCACGAACGGCATACATATATGGGGCCACGAAGGGCAGCAAGAGTGCCACGAAGGGATGCAACGGGGCCACGAAGGGCAGCGAGGGGGCCACGAAGGGCTGCAACGGGAGCACGAAGGGCTGCGACGGGGCCACGAAGGGCAGCGAGGGGGCCACGAAGGGCTGCAACGGGGCCACGAAACAAAGCGAGGGGGCCACGAAGGATTGCAACGGGGCCACGAAGGGCAGCGAGGAGGCCACGAGGGGCTGCAACGGGGCCACGAAGGGCAGCGAAGGGGCCACGAAGGGCTGCAACGGGGTCACGAAATAAAGCGAGGCGGCCACGAAGGGCTGCAACGGGGCCACAAAGGGCAGCGAGATCCCGATTCCTATGTCACTGAGGGAGTCCTAAGCGTGAGCGCGACTCTTGGGCGCCTGGGTGTCGGGAGCGCGGCGCTTGAGTAAGTTGCAGGAAATTCCAACGCAAGGGCGTTATTCTTCAGTCAATTGCAAGCAAGTCTCCAGCGAGAGAGCGACTCCAGAGCGCCAAGAGAATGAATCTTGAATATAACGCGAGGGCGTCTCGGGCGGGAGCGGGTGTCCTGGCTAAATTGTGAGGAAGTCTCAGGCGAAAGCCGCTGTTGTTGTAAACCGGGGGCCAACGACACAGTTTGACCCTCGAAATTTTCCCGGGTAAAAAACAGGGTGCGAGCCCCGGGAAGGGCACTTCAATCGAAAAAACAATGTGCACCGGACGGGGAGATCAACTTCAGAAATGAGAGTTCAACGAGACGACGGCGGCGACGGCGGCCAGCGGGACAAGCGAAGCCAGTGTCCGCAGCTCGGTCCATTCAAGTCAGGGCCACGGAGAGGGGTCCATAGCCCCCCCGGGCGAGGGAGAGAGAGGTTCATACGAGGTCCGGTTCGCCAGAGGGCGGCGACCCAGCCGTCGGACTGCAGGCGCGGACGGGAGGAGGTCCATCGGGGCGTCCGCCCCTGGGTTCTCGAAGCTGTTGCCAGGCGCTTCTGGCCAAGAGTTGCCCTCCGTGGCGATACGCATGTAAGAGTGACTTTTGGTGCGGGCACACTGGGGTCACCAGATGGCTGAATGCGGTGCGATAGCGGCGGCCTGCGCGCTCCGATTCGGCCCCCTGCGGCCCCCGAAAGCCCCGCACCAAAGGCCACTCTTGCCTACGGTCACTCTCACGTGTTACCGATCTTCGCAGTCGGCAGGTGACGCAGAAACTGGAGGCAGGCCAGGGTGACAGTTCGGCTTCGCTCTGGCTGGTCTCGTGCGCTGGGTGGGTCCGCCGAGGGTCCGCATGGTGCCCGCCACGTGGGCGCCTCGTTCGCGCCCGTGCGCGCCCGTGGGCCCATCGTTCGCGCCAGTTCCCGCTCGCGGGAACTCCGCGGGCGCAGCATAGCTTACACAACACAGCTTATACCCCATAGCTTACCCTACATAGCTTACACAACATAGCCCATGCAACATACATGACACCACATAGCTCACACCGCATTGTTTCAAACGACAGCTCACACCACATAGTTTACAGTTCCATGTAAAATAACATCGCATAGCTCACACCGCAGCTTACACCGAATTGCCCACACCACGTAGCTTACACCACATACGTTCCGCCTCCCACAGTGCAATACTTCACTGTTTGGGGCCCACATGTGCTAAGATGTGTCCCCGCGTGCCAACACGATTGCGTATCTTCTTCATTGCCAGACGTCTGTGGCCATTTGGGCGCAGGTGCTCGGTTGTTTTGAATAACGATTCGGCGATGTTGCTGGCCTTTGGGCCTGCGCCCTCGACGCCGCGCCGCGGCGAACGAGAAGATCACCCGCCCTGGCGCCCGCCACGCCGTCGCGCAGATGGAAGGTCAAGGGGCCGAGGCGGATGACCGCGAAGGAGGGTCGAAAGCGTACGGCAGCGCTCCATGTGACCTTCCAGGACGGGAACCAGGCCGTCATGTGGAGGACCGCGGTGGAAGGTCGAGAGCGCGTGGTAGCGTTCCACACGACCTTCTGGGACGGGGGCCAGGCCGCCAAGCCAGCAGAGTCCCCTTATCGCCGAGCTCGCAGTCGGGCGAAGGGGGTTGGCAAGAGGTTTGTGGAAGACACATGACCTCTGAGATCACAGCCAAGATGAAGTTGACGCCCTTGGTCAAAGAGGCCGACGGCACGCGCAAGTTCGCGGGCGGCCGCGCAGTCGCGACCAACCAGGTCGAGTACCACACCCGTGACGACGAGCACGGTGCCGTATCATTCTGTGGCCTACGAGAACGGTGGATTTCCATGGTTTCACAGCATCAGATCGGCCGTCGCACACGGGCAAGTTGCCAAGGCCATGGGCGGCGAACACCCGAGGACGTTCATCAATAGAGCCCCAGACCCCTTTGCGCCCGTGCCGCGACATGTGTTCCAGGTGTCAAGAAACCAAGCACCACAACGATAAGAAGTTCTGGGTTAGGCCAGGGTCCGATAGCCTGAATGCCGGATGGTTCAACCTGAGGGACAAACAGAACAAGAAGTCGCCGTCGCAGCATACCAAGACCACCGAGCTCGCCATGGAAGCCGAGCTCGCGAAGCACATGGACGGCCCAGCGGCATCGGGAGCCCGTTTGAACGAGACCTACGAGGCGATTCCAGTGGACGAGCGCCCAGGAGCTGCAGCCGACTCCACGATCGCCCTCGGGGGGGGGGTAACCACATCACGCACGTGCGCGCGCCCTGCAATTCAAGCACCCCTCCCCATCCGTAACCGAAGGAGTGGGCGCAACGCGCGGCCCCGACGCAGGTGAACGCGCCAGGGGGCACCACCGCCAGAGGACACGGGAGGTGCGCGAGCGAGAAGCGCGGCCGCAGTCGGCTAGAGAATTGCACCGACGCGTCGGAGCACCGCGCCATCATCTCCCCGCCGCGCCCCATCATCGCGAAGGGCGGCATGAATGTGACCAGCGACAAGAAGGCGAGGCAAATCGAACAATCCCAGGAGCACAGCCCAGAGGAACAGGCGGAGATGGTCTACTCCGGCCACGGGACCCCAGAGCAGGAGGGCACCCTGACGGCCCCATGGACGGCCGAGCTGGCGTCCGCCACCAACGCCACGAGAGGGGGAAAGACCATGCTTGACGGGCCATTGAAGAGGAGGGAGCTCGGCGCATCTGGACGCCATCGACCCCAGCAACGAGGCTGCCTACAGGAAGCTCATCAGGCATGCGCCCACGCTCTCGGAGGAGAGGAACACTGAGGCCATGCTCAGGCGCTTGAACGCTTGCTCCAACTGCGAGGACAGGCGCCTTTCCCAGGACAACCCCACGGGCAACTACCGCGCCTTCTGTCCGCCTGGGAAACTGTCGCATGCCGAACGGGCAGAGCGCGACATGGCGATACAGTCCTCGCCCCCGTTCTCCGACATCTCGGGCTCAACCGGCAACCCGACGACAGCCGAAACGGACAGGGCGAAGGGGCGGCCGTCGCAGCCGAGGGAGCGCGCGAACGAACGCAGAAGTTGGCCACAGAGGGCCCGATAAAGCGCGGCAGCAAGCTTTGAGAAGAGGGTTGGCGGGGCCCGACGAGACCCCTCCGCGACGGCGGCGGCGGCGCCCCAGACAGCAGGCGAGCGTGGAGCGCCGCCGTCACGCAGGGAAAATGGCCGCCAGGCAGCTGAGGTCAGCGAGCCGCCACGTGGCGACGGTTCGCCGCGGCGCCAGCTGGTCGCGAGGCTCGGGCGGCGCCGCGCGCGCGCGTCCGCAATGCGGGGCGCCACGCGACCCGTCGGGGCGGGGGCTTCGCCAGCGGGGCAACGCGCGAGACGGCCGCCACGAGCCCTGGCAAGCGTCGGGCGCGGCGACGCCTCGCGCCCGGGAGCAGGCGGGCCGCGCGCGACCGAAAGAACCCCCGCCACGCCTGGCGGATGCCCGGAGGAGGACGCGCCCACGGGGCAGCCCCGAGCCCCCGCAGACTGGTTGAGGCCCCCCATCGCGGCCCTCGACGGGGCGGCGCGCCCTCGTGGAAGACGGGGCTTTGGGGCCCTCGTTTCTTTACCAGGGCGCCGCGCGGTCGAGACCGACGGATCGTCGCGCGACCTAGGGTCGGGACCTCCGCTCGCGCCTGGACGCGCGCCGCCTGGGCGGCCCCGAAACCCGGTCGGCCGGTTGCCCTCGCGGGGCGGAGACGCCCGCCCGCCCACCCACGCCCCCCCGCGCCGCGGGCGGGCGGGAGGGCGCTCGGCGGAGGCCCGCGCCCTCGCGGGGAGGAGGGGCCGCGCGCGAGTCGGGCGCGGCGTCGGGGTCGTGCCTCCATCCCTGTTGTTCGACGGCAGTACGTCGAGGCTGCAGGGTCGCCGCACGTTTCGCAGTCGCTCGCTGCGCGGGCAGCCCCGAGCCCCCGCTGGCAGGCGGAAACCCGCTCGCGGCGACGGCGCCCGCCCGTTCGCGCGCCCCTCCTTCCGCCGCGGGCGGGCGGCGGGCGGGGCCTCGGGATTGCGCGCGGTCTTTTCTGTCCGATCGCAGCACGATCGGAACGGCGTGCCCGCTGCAAGTTCGCCGCCGCTTGCCGCTCGGGGACCGGGGCCCCGCCGGCCCCCGGGGGGCCCGTCTGGGCGCGCCACGCGGGCCGCCCCCCCCCCCCCCCCGAGGCACACGAGCCTCGTGGCGGGCCTCGCAAGCAATCGCACGCGGAGCAGCCGCGCGCCCACGCGGGCGGGGCAGCCCCCGAGCACGCCGCATCGCCCCCCCACGGGGCGGCGAGGACAGAGGCGACCGAGTTGCAAGTGACAGGGCGGCGAGGGAACGCCGGGGAGACCCTCGGCTTCGAGCTAACCGAAGATCCCCCAGACAGGCGGGCGCGGGCCACGGGAAAGGCCTTCAGGCTGGCTTTCAAACGCAGGTGGCGGGCTGCATTGGGCCACCACTGAAGCGCGATCAAGGACAGGGACGCGCGGACACGCGAAGGAGCGCACCGGGCCCGCCCCAGACGCGCCCGCCAGGGCGAGGCAGCGCTGTCACAGGGGCGACGCAGGCGGGAACCGCGCGCGGCCGGGCGGACAGGCGCCGCCGAGGGCCAGGCGGCCGGTGATCAGGCACCCCTTGGCCCAGGGAGAACGAGCACCTCAGCCGCCAATCGAGGGGGCAAGGTCCAGCAACGGCGGCAGAGCGACAGCGGCTGCGAGCGTCGGCGGGGCCCCACGCGACCCATCGGGACGGGGGGCCCGCCGTCGCACGAGTCGGGCAGACCACCGCAGAGCCCGAGGAGATCGGGGCACTAGGCAGCCACCTCACTCGCGCCCGCCGCCGACCGAGGCAGGTTCGGCCCTCGGCCAGAGGAGGTGCCCGCGGCACCCGAGTCAGCTGAGGCGGATGAGATCGACGGCGCAGTCGGCTGCGCACGGGAACGAGAAAAGGACGACCTCCGCGCCCGAGGGCGAGGAGGAAGGAGACACGGCCGCTGCGACAAAGGGAGACCACAGTGGACATCACGCCCACGCCCCCCTCAACTCCCCAAAGCAGTCGCCCAGCCCGCCGCTGCCAGAGATCGCAGCGCCCCCGGGCATCTGGCCGCCGACGGAACCGCCGTCAGAGGAGGAACGGCAGCCGCGGCGATGCGGACAATGCTGGAGAGTGCTCCTACCCACGAAAAGGACATGCTAGCGCCGCGCGACTTCAGACACCCCCAGGCAGGCGCCGGCCACGCCGGGCAGAGACATGACGGTGGAGGCGCAACGGGCTCAGGAGCGCGGGCTGCGAATGATCAGAGATTTCGAGGACCAGAGCTGCGCGGGGCCCAGGCGGCACCGGGCCACCTTCGGACAGAGGCCGAATACATGCGTCAGCAGGGAGGTCGCCAAGACCGCGAAGCGTTGCGTGGAGCTGCTCGGGCGGCCGACCACACCAAAGGAGTGCGGACAACTGCGGGCGAGAGCGTTACAATCTGCACGCGGCGCCAGGAGCTACTGAGACAGCGAGCCAGAGGCCTCCAGATCGGGTGGAGAGCCCCACGGAGGGGCCGACCTCCGAGGACGGGGGCGCACCAGCGACTCCGACGGCACCTTGAGACACAGCTCGGCCCCGAAGGGAACGCGGCCCTTTGGGCCAACCGCGGCCTGCGTCGAATGCAGGGCGAGACCAGCGGGCCCGGGCTGCGGGGGCTGGGACCCCCTGGGCAGCCGAGGCATCAGGCTGCACGAACAGGCCGCCCCCCCTGCACGCGGCGGCCGTCAGCCAAAGCCGCTCGGACGGAGGAGGAGGTTCGGGGGCCTGCCCCCCCCACCCACCCACCCATGCATGGCCAGCGGCCACCTTCCGAGCTCCCGAGCAGCGGGCAGGCAGGCAGACGGCCGAGGACACCGACGAGCAAAACGACCAGCGATGGGGGGCCTGCCAGCAGACACCAGCCCCACAGAGGAGCGACGCGGGCCCCCGCAGCTAGGCAAGCATGCAAGGCGGCGTTTCAGCAGGCCTGTCGAGCGGCCCACCGCCCAACATTGGAGGAGGAACCTCATCTGGAGCCGCTCGGAGGATTAAACGCGGATGGGAACGTCGAACGTTTACACGGGCACGCAGAGGAGAAGCCCCCCCCCGCAGAGCACAGCCGCTCGACGGAGGTCAGCAAGGCGCTCCAAGGCCACTACCACCTCGGCCCGCGCTGGGCGCCTTTGTCAGGCGGGCCCGCGGCCGGGGCACGGCCGAGTAGGTCGCGGCGGCCGAGGGCCCCGGCCCGACGGGGGCGCCGCCGGGGGAGGTCGTGGACCAGTCGGCAAACGAGGAGCAAAAGCTGAGACGGTTGCGGAGGCCAGGGGGCCCACTGCCACCACCGACTCGCCCTGCGTCGCGCGCCGCCAGCAGGCTAGCTCGCGCAACGCTCGCGGAGGCGGTGGCGGCCGAGAGCCTCGGCGCGGCGCCGGCGTCGCTGAGGGGGTTCGCGGACCGGGCGTCAGACGAGGAGCAGGGGCAGTTGCTACTGGGGGGGCCAGCGAGGTGATCCACGGCTGCCACCCATCGAAGGCCTGCGTCGGGCGCTTCAGGCGGAATCGACCGAGTTCGAGGCAACGATCGAGCAGGCAGAGGCGGCCGCGGACCGCGGCGGGGGGGGAGACACAGCAGCCGCTGACAGAGCTCGCGGACCACGCGGCAGCCGAGGAATCAGCGAGGAGGCGGCCGATAGCGTTCCATGGCTGCCTTGAACGAGCCTGCGGGAGGACGCCGCGGCGGGCCTCGGGCCAGCGACCAGCCGGGGAGCGGCTCAGGCCCCGCCACCGCCGGGGCCGCGCAACGGCGGCGGCCCGCGTCGCTGGGAGCGCAGCGCGGCCGCAGAGCAAAGCCGCCGCGGACTGGAGGCGCAGGAGTGGGCCCGATGGAAGGCTTGCCTGGTCGCGCCGCCGAGAAGATGGGCGCGCCCCAGACGGCGCGGGCGATGGGTGGCACCGCGAGCCGCGCGCACATCAGCACGCCGAGGCCGCGCGCGCGGACCCTGGAGACGACGCGCGGGCGGCCCCGGCGCGCGCGGCATCCTGAGGGCCGCGACGATCGGGCACTTCAACGACTACGCGGAGGACTGGGCCGCCGAGACGGGCGGGGCGATGGCGCCCAACGAAGCCCCCCACGCTACGGCGCGGACAGCGCGGGGCAGACGCGGACCAGAACGACAGAATCTCGACCTGGCGCGGTCGGTCATGAACGTGGAGCCCCCCCACCAGGGCGGGGAGCGCAGGCGCGAGCAGCGGCGAGTGTCCACGCGACCCCTCGGGACAGGAGCCCCGCGGCACGCTGGCGCGACGCCCCCGCACCTCGGCCGCGCACGATGCCCAGCGGCTCGCGGAGACCCGCGAGGACATATGGGGCCCGCTGACCGGCGCGTTCGAAGGGAGACGCACGGCGACAATGCCGACACCACCGCGGCAGAGACAGCGCCCTAGAGGATGGTACAAGGGGGCTCGGAGCTGGACAGCGGGTGACCTCCCGACTGCGGAACAGCCACGCGCCTTTGGAACAGCTCGCAGACACCGACCTGGACCAGGCCGGGTCGAGGCAGCCCGAGCCCACGAGGCATCGAGACGCGCACCCACTGCGTTGCAACGTCGCCCGCTGGCTCCCCTGCGCGGAGGGCGAGGCGCGGGGCGGCACCAGAATGAACGGAAACAGCCTCCACACTGGCGACGCCCCCCACGCGCTGGGGCTCTCGGGGGCGAGGGCAGCGCGCATTGCAGCCCAGGCCTACGGTACGGCCGAACGCGGCAACGCCCACAGGAGCGAGAGGGCAGCGAGCTCGGCGCGCACGACCCGCGCGATAAGGGCCTTTGCCTGGGAAGACCGCCGTGGGAGCCAGGTGGCTGGGAGATACCGCTGGAAGGCAGCAAGCGGGAGACCATCAGCACGCTCGGGCAACCGCGGAAAAAGGGGCCCCCATTTGGGCGCGAGCATGGCAGACGACCCGAGCAGGACCAGGGAGGCGCGGGGGCCCCTCAGTACGTTCCCCGACACGAAGTCGCGGCTCGGGAAGTCCCACCTGGGGGCGAACCACACGAGGACGGGGCCAGCGGACAGCCAGGGGTGCACCTTGGCAGCCCACCCACGTCCAAGCCGAACGCGCGGACGCGGGCGGTCTTCGTCACTGAGCTCTTGGAGGACGGGGCCCACGCGATGCGGCGTCGAGCCTGCAAAGACTACCGCGCGAGGGGACACTGGAGGCGGACGGCCTCGGCAACCTGAAGAAGACGGACTTTGACGAGTATCTCGGGATCCGCGCGGCGCGCGGTGGCCGCGGACCCGAGGGGGCACGTGCTCGACGTGACGACGCTGGACACCAAGTACACCACGAGTCGGCCGCCGAGGAGGGGGCGGCCACTCCGCAGGGACAGCCCCACCCAGCGCGGCGCGCACGAGGCCGCGCGGACGGAGCAGGGGCAGCTACAGCAGCGCTTCGGCAGGAGAGGGCACCCTCGAGGAGGCGGCAGCCCGCGCGCAGCTCAGGAGGCGGCACCCGCGCACCGCGGTGCCGCCGCAGGAGTGGCTCAAACCTCCCCGCGCTTGGGGGGGACCCCTTCCCGACCCAGCATTCCCCCCTGGGAACCCAGCGGCCACCTCGGCGGGCGAGGTCCCCGTGGCGGGAGTGGGGGCCGGGCTCGGGGGAGCTCCCCAGGGTTGGGGAGAGGCCCTTCGGCGACCCTCCCGCGTGTCCTCGGGGCGGTCTCGAACCTCCACCGCCCCCGCTCCGCGCTTTCGGGGGCCCCCGCACTCCCACCGCGGGCGGGGGCGGGGGTCCAGGAGGGCGGGGCGCCTCAACCGCAGAGTGCCCTACGAAGGCTGGGTTGGACTTCCAGACCGCGCCTCTCGGCCGCTGGGCGTGTGCGAGCTTCGGACGCCGTCATTAGCAGCGTCTGGGGAGAGGGGCCAGCATCCCCCTCTCGCCTCGGGGCTCCAATCTGCCTCCCCTCGGCTTCACGGGTGACTCACTCACATCGCACCAAAGGGGCAAGAAGTTCCTGGGAGTGGCAGGCGCCCTGCTTAAGGGGCTCCTGGCACCGCCACCCATAAAAGGGAAACCACCATCATGCCATTTTTCCCCTTCTACCGCTACCGCACCGCCCCAGACATCCAGCTCCGCCAATTTTTTGGGTCAGTGGACCACGGAGATCCGGACCACTTCTCCAGGGCCGGGTTTTCGTCCTGAGTCGTTTTCTGCCGTTCCCGAAACCCGGCGAGGGCCCCCAGAGGCCGAAGACGGTCAAACGCGGCTTGCTCCATTTGTTTTTTGGGGCAGCGTCGGATATCAGGGGCTACTGTGGCTCATCGACGATACGCCCCCGCCCGCCCACACGAGCGCGCGTCCTCTTCCTGGCCCGACGGCTGTGGCCACTCGGGCTGCGGCGCTCGGCCGCTTCTGCGTAGCCCACCCACAGCCACCCTGGGGCATCAGATTCCTGGGGGTGGCTGGTGCCCTGCACACGTGGGCCCCAGCACCGCCACCCAATAAAAGGGAAATCACCGTCACATCATGTTCCCCCCTCTTTGCCGCTATCGCACCGCTAGTAGGAATCACCGAGGATATATATATATATATATATATATATATATATAAAAAATAAATATATCGTATACATCTATATATATATATATATATATACATATGCATACGTACATACCTAGACATAGACATAGACATACACCTATACATACGCCTTACACGTGTAATCCTACATTTCTCTCTCTCTCTCTCTCTATGTGTGTGTGCGTGTAGAAGTAACAGAGTAATTGTATCAATACATAATACATGAATAATATACTGGTACACAAACAAATGAACACATGCACAGACACACACGTACATACATATCTGCTAAGTAAATACAAAAGTACGTACATAACATAAATATACACAAGTGTATACACGCATGCGTGAACATACATTTATACTGACCCCAGCGTGATCCCAATGAGTGACCCTCTGCCTTCCAAAGCATGTCACAGCAACTGTGAGCAACACAAAATCATGCAACGCCCAGCATTGCGTGGCGTTGCTCAGCATTGGTCGACATTCCTTGACGTTCCTTGGCGTTGCTTGGCATTGCTTGACTTTGCTTGGCGTTGCTTCGCATTGTTTCGCATTGATGGGCGTTGCTTGGCCGTGGTTGACATGTCTTGGACTTGTTTGGCATTGCTTTGCATTGCGCTGAATTGGTGGGTATTGGTCGGCAGTGGTTGGCAATGCTTGGAATTGCTGGGCATTCCTTGGCATTGTTCGGCAGTGCCTGGCATTGCTTGACATTGCAACGGCAGGGGAGCCCAAGGGACAAGACAAGAAAACCCGAGTAAAACGACCAGGGAGCCCGAGAGAGAGAAAGACAAGGAAGAATGACGGGGAAGTTGAGAAACACCAAGGAACTCAAGGAACAAGATTGGGGAACTTGGGCAACGCCTAAAAGATTCCTAGACCAGGGAGCTGGGCAACGCCGAGGCAGCTTCGGATAAGCAACGTCGCACCCACCAGTTTTCCACAAAGCAGCATATACAAAGCCGAATTGGTGGAGAGGAAAAACAAACGCTGCAACCAAACATGTTTCCCATTTCAATTTCAGACGCGTTCGCTTTTCCTGCACATATCCTCCCACCCTACTCCAGGATTCTTCGTCGCCGTCGAGGAGCCTGGCTACGCTCGGCGCCGTGGACGAGGCATTGACGGGGACAGCGCTGCTGCGAAAGCGATACGCTGATACGTTGCGTGGATACGCTCTTTGGGTGTATACGGCTTGTTTCAGTGGAAGTGCGATTGCGAATCAGGTCCCTGATTGATTTGTCTGCCAAATCTTTTGGAGGCTTGGGGGTCCCTGGGAAGGAGAGGAGCAACACAGGCGCCATGGGATATAGTTTTTGAGCTCTCAAGGTCCTCGAGACCCGCCGTCGCTGGCCTACACCGCGGTGGTCTCCGCTGGTTCCTAGAGGGTGCCGATTTTCCCACAGCCACCCTATCACGCTGCCCCGAATGGCAAATCCCAAGCTGCGGCCCCCTGTCGGACAGGGCCACGGAGGGCACTGGGCGCGGATTCCACTGACTGGGAGGGGTTGACCTGGCGCCCAGCACGGCATGGTGTCGGTGGCCGTTTTGCTGAACGACCACGCTCTTGGTCACACGGCCGATTTTTCGAATTTCTCAGTCATGTCTCATAACGTTGACGTGTAGGCCACAGTGTGAGCAGTAGCCTTGTGCGGATCGGGCTGGGGCAACAATTTTTCAGGCGGCCTCAGCTTCGCCGAGCCTTCCAGAGCCGTTGGGGCCACGCGGGCGCGCCCTGGTCGATAATGTTGCCGTTATTTCACCATGAGTTCGTAACCACTACGTAGTTACACCTTGGTTGATCCGAGTTCAATCTTAGCACACCGTGGCTCAGGAAGGCCTTACTTTGTGCTTCGCCCACAGCCCATAACGGACACAAGTCTACACCACACTTGCGTCGCAGATGCCATTTTGCCCACCCGCTCACAGCCACCGCGGAGTGTGCTCATCTCCCGCCCGCGCTTGCACCACAGCTGCTCACCACAACGGCGATACACGTCCTCCTTATGGGGAGGCCACAGCACTGCTTCGGACGGCCCCCCCAGCGCCGTCCTGCGGCCACAGTGGCTCGAGACCTTTGCCCCCACCGCGCGGAAGACCCTCGCGCGCGGCTGCCCCACAAACCTTCGCCAGCCGGCGCCAGCCAGCCGCCCACGCATGCCGCGGCCGGTGCTTCTCCTCTGCTTGCTCGCCTGCCAGGCGGCGCGCCCCGAGGCGGCCTCCGGCTCCGCCACGAGCCCCTGCGCGGCCGGGAGCGGGGCGGCCTGCGGCGAGGACGAGATCGAGCAGCTCGAGGCCATGGAGGCCGAGCAGCTCCGGACGGAGCTGCTACAGACGTCGCAGAGCCGGATGGGGGCGCAGCTGGTGCGGCCGCGCGGGCGCGGCCAGCCCCTGGACATGCCGCTGCCGCCGGGCTCCTCGCTGTCGCTGCTGGCCCCTCGCGGGCCAGCGCCCTGACCGGTCGAGGGCGCGCCAGCGCCGCGGGGGTGCCCCGCGCGCCGCGGGGAGCTCGTTTGGGCCTTTCCTCTCTGACTCGTTCGAGTTAGCTCACGTGGTACGGAAGATAAGGCTCATCGTCTACCCCGTGTTCGCATCACCGCCATCATCGGCACACAAGACCCCGCTTACCTGTTTCAAAACCAAATCGCAATTACCGCTTCTACATCCCATGGGCATTGCATACGAGTTTCTGCTGGGCCTCGCAGCCGTTTCGCCGACGACCCCGTGGCTCCACCGCCGTATGTCACAGCTTGTTGATATGCCTTGGTAGCCATGCCATGGATAGATTCCGATAGCTCTGTCCCATGTGTTACACATGTTCACGTGGCATTCAGATCCACACCGTTTTTTGCACCACCAACACTCACCGCGCGTAGACATTAGGTCACGACTACACCAGAAATTTAGAGTACCCCATACGGCGATGTGTGATATATACACATGAGTGGATTGTATTATTATGTTATGTTGGACACACGGTACCGATGCCCCTGTGCAACTTAAGTTTGTGCCATAGGGGAATGTCTTTCACACGAGAGGTTCGACCAATTGTTTGGCAAATCAAATAATAACCATCGGTTGCAAGCATGCCGCGCTTTCGACTAAGATTATGCAAATCGGCGCTTCCTGGATGTTTGACGCGGCGCGTTCGCCAAATACTTGCTATAGTACGGACGTCAAGATAGCACGATTTATGTCGCAGCCGAGGTCCTGGCTCACGCACAGAACTTTAACAGATGGTTTCGAATGATTTGGCTTGGGTGGAAAAGAGCTGCCCGCCTACTACGCCTCCAGACTCGGATCTCTCCCACGCCCTCTCCTTATTCCCTTTCGCCGCCCCCTTTTCCGAGGCCACGGCACCACCGTGTCAGCCGCTTTTCAACCCGCTCCCGCCCCACGGCTGGGGACGTCTACGCATTTCCTTCCTTCATGTTCCTTCATTCTCTTCATTTCCTTCCTTCCTTTGAGCACCATGTGAAGATCGTTCTGAGTTCAGTTTCTGGCAAGGTAGTTGCATGCACAGTTTAGCATCAGCGGGATGAGCGGGATTGCAGCAGACGCTTCCCCACCTCCGCAGCCATCTGCTTCAGAGACCCCACGAGGGGGGTCGTGCTGGCAGCACGCTGCGAAGTGCACGCCGTCCCTGCGTCTAGGGGAAGCCATGTCCTCGTGGCCACCCTATCCTGCATGATCGACCGCAATCCCCAAGATAATGGCCATGTAGGTGCCAGGTCAGTGCAAGAGCACTGTCGTCGGGCACGAATCCCACGACAGAGGTCCACCACTGCATGCTGCTTTGCCCTTGCAGAACACGACGATGCAGCGGGGGCACGGTCAATCTCTCACTGACAGTCTCCCCGCACACCCCGCGCCATCATCCCCCGCCCCCGCGCTGCCGGGCCCGCCCCCCGCCGCTCCGCCCCCCTCCCCCTCCCGCGGCAGAGAGGCCGCGAAGCTCAGCGCCATGCTGTCCGGCATCGGCGTGGAGCTGTCCCTGCAGTGCGCCCACTGCGCGGGGCGCGCGTGGCCGCCCGGCCAGGCAGAGGCGCCGACGGCCGCCTGCTGGCTCTCGGGGGCCCCTCGGCACCTGGCCACCCGGGAGGTTTCGTCGTCCGGCTGCCACGGGATCCCCGGCGGCGTGTGCCGATCCGGCCCTTGCGCGTCGCCTGCCGCTCGGAGGAGTCCGCTGCTTGTCATCGGCCGCCGGCCACCCACCAGGCTGAATATCACACTGTAGCGTACCCGCCACGTTCGTTGTTCAAACCCGTCTCTCGGCCCCTCCGCTCTCTCTCTCTCTCTCTCTCTCTCTCTCTTTCTCTCTCTCACGTGAAGATGTATGTATATATTTACACATCACTTGCAATGGTGGAGTGGAGACATTATGCTGAGCTGAGGCTGCGGAGCGTTTTTGGGGGGAAGCATGCTATGGCGTAGTTGTAGCGCCGTCTGTGAGGCCGTAGTGGGGCCGTATTAGCCCGAAATTGTGAGAACGCCAACAATGTGGAAACACCTAAGGAGAATCAGTCATTCTGGTTTCCTGTAGGTCCTCTTGGAGCCCTCTTGGGGCGTCTTGGGGGCCTCCTGGGCCGTCTGGGGGGCATCTTGGGCCCCCAGTAAAAAGCAGCCATGCGGCACTCGATTACGAGATAGCCGATGACAATTTCATGCGGCGACGAGATGGTTGCGAGTCTTCACATGGGGGTCTCATCTGCCTTGACTCTGTTCTTTGGTAGACCTCATGTGCATTTCTAGTGGGGAGCCATTGGACTTCAACTGTGATCATGATGAGCGCGATTTCCTTGAAGCCCTTACATCGCGAAGAGCATGAAGACGCCTCTTCAATGGCCTTGATTATCACGTCGATCGAACTCTGGTGAGACATGTTGGATCCGCGAATGTCTACCTAATTTTCGGCGCGCACAGTCGAAGCCCAAGAGGACCAGACCTTGCAGGCGCTTAGTCAGTTAATCTAGGAGTTCAGGTTGCAATGACGCCAGATCCATACTTCCATCATTTTTATCTCACGTGGTGGACTGTTTGATGCCCCGTCGAGGTCTAGGCTACGTGCTTAACATCGTGGGACCCTGACTCGCACTAGCGCTCCTCGTCTCCCGACCCCAGTCTATTCGCACCTACAACCGAGCGCGATTCTAGTTGGCAGGAGCAGCAGCAACAGGGGCTTCAATTGGGGGCCCTGTCCACGTGAGGAGCTTTTGGGCAGAGGAAGTGCTCTGGCGTGTTCACGAGCCAGTAGGTCAAAAGCGGCAGCGCGAAGGTGCTCTTCAACCACGCAGAGTGGTTGCAGTATTTGCAGGAGGTGGGCAAAACGATGCACACCATGTCCCCGGTGCCCCTCGCAGCGCTGCAAGGCTTTGGCATGCTGCATGCGTTTGACCCAATGCCCCTCGAACTTGTCGCGACACAGCTAATGCAAGCCGATTCCATGTGAAGGGGGGAAGGGAGGGGGAGAGAGAGAGGGGGAGGGAAACGGGAAACGGGAGAGGGAGAGGGAAAAGCCGAAAGAACAGGCGGCATCGAAGATATAGATTCCCCGAACAGAGCTTGCACTGACAGATCGGTGCTCGTCTTCTGCACAGGTGCCATTGGCTTCCCCGTTTTCCCCCTGCCCGTGGGCGCCCCGTGGGTGCCTCGTGCGCATGCATGGGTTTCCGACTCCTCGCCCCGTCGCCACGCGTGGGGTCCCCGAGGGCGCCTCAGTGCGCTGGCACGGGCTTCAGGAGTTTCGCTCCCTCGCCCCTTCTGGGCGCCTCGAGCGCTGCCGTGGGCCTGATGGTGTTCGCCCGGTCGCCGCCGGTGGGTGCGCCGCCCATGGGCGCCACTTGGGCGCCTCGTGCGCCGGCGGGGCACCTCAGGGTGTCGCTCGGTCGCGCCCGCGGGCGCTTCGTGTTCGCCTCACTCGCTGGCCGCTCTTGCAGGGTCTTCGCCCGGGCGCCGCCCATGGGCGTCTCGTCGCCGCCTACACAGCCTGCATCACACTGCTTACACCACTGAGGTTGCAGCACACTGCCTGTGCCACCTAGCTTGCGCCACCAAGATGGCACTGCATCGCTTGCACCACATGTATCGCACCGCGTCGCTGGCAACACGCACGTCGCATCACAGAATAGCTCGCACCATATAGATTGCACCACAGCTCTAGCCTGGCGAAGGGCCAACCTTCTGCAGCTGCGTGTAGCGAGGGGCGTGGCCCTCTCCTCGTGCGCACCGTTGGCGGGAGGGAGTTCGGGGCAGTGTGGCTAGGGGGCTGCGGCTCCGGCGCGCAGAGGCGCGCTGAGCTCCCTATGGGGCACGGTCCGTTTGAGAGGGTGCACCGAAATCTGCGTAGTCCCACAGGCGAACGCGTCCATTGGGGCCGTAGCTCCCTATCCGGCTCGATCCGCGTGGCGTTTGCCGAAATGGGCAGAGGTTCGCGTACGACCGCGCCCACTGGGGCCTCAGGTGGAGCTCCCCATGGGGCACGATCCGTGTGATAGAGGTGTGCCGACATGAACAGAGGCCCGCATGCGACCGCGGCCATTGGGGCCTCAGATGGAGCTCCCCACCGGGCACGATCCGTGGGCGTGGTGTGCCGACATGGACGGAGTCCCGCATGCGATCGCGCCCAATGGGGCCGCAGGTGGAGCCCCGCGTACGGTACACGATATGTGAGAGTTGTACCGGGGCGCAAAGGTACGCTCTCGGTGGAGCTGTAGCTGGTGCTCCCCATGAGGCACGAGCTGCGTAAGGAAGTGCCGAATTGGGCGCAGTGGTCCCAAAAGCCCCTGAGAGGGCGCCCCTCAAGACCAGACGGCCAAGTACACCCCCGGATGGCTTCCCAGTCAGCCCCCAGACGGCTCCAAGACGGCCCAAAGATGGCCCCAAGACGAGCCCTGGTGTTTGGCCACAAGCGCGGGAAGCAGAGGACGACCGCGACGACGGCGACGACGACGACGAAGACGACGACGAAGACGACGAAGACGACGAAGACAACGACGAAGACGACGACGACGACGACGACGACGACGACGACGACGACGACGGCGACGACGACGGCCGCGGCGGCGGCGGCGGCGACGACGACGACGGCACGGGTCCGCGGGTCTGCCCACCCGCAGGTCCATAACAGACTATGCAAGAGAGAGGCAAAGGTGAAGGAGCGAAGAGTTGGAGGCAGGAGTGAACAGCGAGGAGCGAGAGAGGAGGAGGAGGAGGAGGAGGAGGAGGAGGAGGAGCAGGAAGAAGAAGAAGACGGGAGATGACTGGGGGGGCGCCAGCGATGGAGCAGGGCGGGGGGAAGCGGGAGCAGCGAGGAGGGAAGAACGATGAGGGGAACGGGTGCTCAGTTGTCTCTAAAAACGGTCAGGGCGTTTGTTGCTCCATCTTCAGTTGTCGCTTCGGGATACTTGAAAAACATAAACAAAACGAAGTTCGAAAATGAGTACAAAAACGGCGCCATTGGGGACCGGAAACGGAAAACAAACAAAACGAAACAACAATTAGCTTGACGAAGGACCCAACCATAAGCAGGTGTGGATTCCGCGTTCTGGGTCCATCGTTCGACGGGCCTCCCTATGGGGCCACGAATCGTGTGAGGGGTGTGCCGAAATGGGCGGGGAACCGCATGCGAACCCTGCCACTGGAGCCCTCGGTGGAGCTCCCTATGGGGCCACGAAACGTGTGAGGGGTGTGCCGAAATGGGCGGGGAGCCGCATGCGGACCCTGCCACTGGGGCCTTCGGTGGACCTCCCCATGGGACCACGAAGCGTGTGAGGAGTGTGCCGAAATGGGCGGGGAACCGCATGCGGACCCTGCCACTGGGGCCTTCGGTGGAGCTCCCTATGGGGCCACGAAGCGTGTGAGGAGCATGCCGAAATGGACGGCAAACAGCACGTGGACCCTGCCACAGGGGCATTTGGTGGAGCTCCCTATGGGGCCACGAAACGCTGCACTGGCTGGGGGGGCCGCGAGCGGGCACTGCCACTAGGGCCTTCGGTGGAGCTCCCTATGGGGCCACGAAACGCTGCACTGGGTGGGGGGAACCACATGCGGGCACCCCCACTAGGGCCTTCGGTGGAGCTCCCTATGGGGCCACGAGACGCTGCACTGGGTGGGGGGGCCGCAAGCGGGGACCGCCACTAGGGCCTTCGGTGGAGCTCCCTATGGGGCCACGAAACGCTGCACTGGGTGGGGGGAACCACATGCGGGCACCCCCACTAGGGCCTTCGGTGGAGCTCCCTATGGGGCCACGAAACGCTGCACTGGGAGGGGGGACCGCATGCGGGCAACCCCACTACGGCCTTCGGTGGAGCTCCCTATGGGGCCACGAAACGCGTGAGGGGTGTGCCAAAGTGAGGGGGGTGACGGGAGGAGGGAGGAGGAGCAGGAGCAGGAGCAGGAGCAGGAGCAGGAGCAGAAGCATGAGCAGGAGCAGGAGCAGGAGCAGGAGGAGGAGGAGGAGGAAGAGCAGGAGGAGGAGGAGGAGAGGAGAGGAACGCGGGGACCGTCTCTTCAAAACGAGGACCCAACACCACAGGATCGTTGGGAAAATATTGAAAACGGCGTCCGCCAGAACCTCCCAAGACCTCCGAATTGGAAAGAAGCAACAGCAACAAGAAAGCAAAAACAAAAACAAACAACTGACAAAGAAACAAACAACCGAACAAAAACAACAAACAAACTATCAAAACAACTGGCACGCGCGAGCAGAATTGGGCCAGCGGCATTCCATCCGTTCCTCTTCCTGTCCGCTTCCTATGCTTCGCTCGGTGAGCGCTGCCATCCCGAGCGCGCAGGCACTGCTGGCAAGAGACGGCTGCGTCGGTGGGGGGGGAGCTGCAGGAGATACTTTTGGGGGCGAGTTGCACGTGATCTGAAACTGAAAACGCCCTGGAAGCGTATTGAAAACGGGGGAGGGGGAATTGAGCGGGTGGGCAAGGGGAGCAACGGGGAGTTGAAAGTGGGAAAGTGTGTTGTCCCAATCCCCCGACGCAGCCGTCTCAGTCTCAACGGCGCCAGCCAGCAGGGGCCGCGCGTCAGGGATAGCAG